CACATGTAGATGCTGACGGGGTGGGCTGGGATACAAGGGTGCTTTAGTGTAGGGGCTGCCTGCCAGCAAGGCCCATACTAGAGTACCTTTGTGCCCCAGCCAGCCTCTCTGCAGTATGCTGATCTGGGTCAGAGCAGCCCCAGGCTGGCAGGCTGACCCCCCAGATCCCCTGCCAACTGTGGCTGCTCCAACTCAGCTCAACATGCTGCAGTCCCAGGCACAGCACACATGAAAATGTAGCACCTGGGAGCAATAAACTCTGGCACAGACTGTGCTGGAGTTTATTCAGGCACACTGATTTCACATGTAGATGCACCCATATGGATTATTATGATGATGTATATATTATTGGATTGCCAAGTATTATTATTCTGCTCATGGCAGAACACTTTAACGTCCTTGGACGTTTCACCACTGACCTAACAGTAGCTGTTCTTAACTAATAAAACTTTAAAAATTGACTTGGATGTGAAACTGTGGGACAAGAAATCATCCACAGTGCTTACTGGATTGTGTTATATGTGGTCTCAACAAAGACTATGTTCCTCAATGAATGAATTGCTTTTTTTATCTGTTGAGCTATTCAACCCATATTTATCCCCCCCCCCCCTTATCTTCTGTATTTAAATACCCTTCTGTTTACAGCCCATTTTTTACAAGTTCATTCATAGCTTTTGATGAGTAAGCTGTCACCTACAAGATTTTATGTCTCTCTGAACCAGTTAATCCAGGGGTGGACACTAATTTTGGCTGAGGGCTACTTAACAGGTTTTGGATACTGTTTTGTCAAGTTATAGATTAAAAAGAAATCATATACACAAATCAAACAGCTACTATAACATATTTTAGTTTTATTTCAAAAAATAATTTTTGTCCTCATTTAAGTTTTTTGAGTAGTGTATTTAGAGGCAATTGCATAATAGATCAAAATAAAGTCTTACTCTTGTATATTGTGGGACATGGGGAAGTGGAGGGAGGTATGGGGCTGGGTGTATGTGGGAGGAAGGGTGTGGGGTATATGCGTAGGGATGAAGGCTGTATGTGGGGTGTGCATGTGGGTGGGGGGGTGGAGGGTGTACCTGTGAGGGAGTGGACATGTGAGTGTGTGTTGGGGGGGATGGATGTGGGGTGGGCG